CTGTTTCGTTTGTTCATTTTGTTAACATATTTTAAAATAAATGGATTTAATAGGAGCACAAAATTTAACTTAACAATTTAATGTCACAAGTGCAAAAACCCAGAAATCTGCTAACTTAAGGACTTAAAACATTTTTTTTTAAGACAAGCTTCCTATATGCTGCCTTCTCAATTTCAGTTTTATTTATTTCTGGCCAATTATTTAAATTTGTCAGCAGTCATTAGCAAGTTTACCGACTCAAATAAAACCTGAGACTTGGAACAAATTTCTATTTAATGATGACCATTTACGAACCTTTAGTTTTAAGTGCCAAACCTGCGGCTGATCTTTCTCCCGTGGGTCTTTAGAAAATAAATGCTCGGCTATTTAAACCGAAACACATTTGGCGGCTCACATATATAGACATATTTCTTTTAATGATCTTTTGTTTTTTGCCATTAATTAATGCCACCGATCGAAATTCGAGTTGAAACGAAGCGAAATCTTTGCGATCGTCTTCGTCATAATTTGAATAAATGTTTTACGACCCGAATTGTTCGGCTCTGGCCATTAAAAAATACTCTTTGATCAAGACGAACCTGTGGGCAAAACGAAACCAGATTTCGATTTCAAGATGTCATCGAGAGTCGTTTCGATATCTCCAATGATCAATTTGTGGAATTTTTCTAGCCGAGAGTGGCGCTATAAATTTCACATTTATAATTAACAACTTCTTAAACATTTTATGTGTTTCTCTTTTGATTGTCTTCTTTTCTGGCGCTTTTGATTTCTCATATTCATATCGAATTTATTTGTTGCCTGCTTTTTGTGCCATTCATTTTTATGACTTTTCGTTAATTGTAATTTATTTGATTGATTTATCGAATGAATAAATATTGATCACAAAAATTTCGCAGACGAGTTTCGCAATCAAATCGAGATTTTAGTTTATCAAGCGACCAAAATATTTTCGACAAAACCCACACGTGGACCGCTTTATGGATCATTATAATACATATATGTATACTATACACCGAATATTCCGCAGCTCATCAAAGTAATATTTCAGCTTCAGCTGACTTTTGTTGGCCGAGATTTACGTCTCTTAATAATTCAAAATTGGATGGCGTCGGTTGAAAGAGTTAATCCCTCGGTCGCATGAAATCTTCCATTAAAAATAAATCCGAGGCACTGCCGCGATCAAAATCTTGAGCAGAATCGTTCTATTTGACAACGCCACAGCCAATAACTCACGACAGCCTCGTGGGCGAATATCGCCGTATACATCAGCATATATAGCATATGCAGGTCCGATCCGTTGGTGCCATTTGGGGATCTGCTTTGTTGGCACCTCCTCGCTTAACCACCGAAATTGACTGAAACGGAAGCGTTGACACTCGGACAAAAACGATTGCCGCCAGCAAAGCCTTTGATAATTTGCAATATTCGCTTGTTCTTCTCTTTTGGTTTCTTTTAAATTTTGAATGTTTCTCATTTTGAATTTTAGCACACGCTTGATGAGTTTTTAAGCTCTTGATTGTCTGTGTTCGCCCATTAAATTAATTGCTTGCCATTTGTATGTGTTTGCTGTATTTTTGGATTGATTAAATGAAATAATTAATAATATAAAAAGGTTGAAAGATTAATACCCCGAATTGACGAACGTATAATAGTTAAGGTATCATAGCATATAACTTATATTACTTATCAGACGTATCCCTCTGTAAATGAAAAAAGGTATCCATAATAACTACTTTGAGTTGAAAAAAGGGATAATTCATGTTACTACTTTTACTCAAAAAGTAAAAATACTCAAAAAAAATATCATAATCCCACTTTTCTTAAATGATTAATACTTTTAACACATTAACAGTTTAATAATGTTTTTAACTCTACCAGAAACTAATATAACATGTTCTCTCTCTTAATAAGCAAAGACCATTGTAAATTGTAATGATGATAAAGTTAGGTAAAAAGCGTTGTATACTTTAATAACTCATTTTTTAGAACCTATTATAAATAAATCAACGTTTAGTTGTCTAGAAAACTAGATTTCTGAAATTGAAAATTTGTTTTGTAGTCTTAACATTCCAATCAGCGATGACGCTTTTAGAAGCTTGCGTATCCAGCGGATACCTTGGCATCGAACTCCAAATAATAATTTATCAAACGAATTTTAACGATCGAACACATAAAAAGTTAATGTGGCGCGGAAAACAGATAGAAGGAACAGAACAGACAGCCATCGCGATGAGATCTCACTGTCACAGTCTCTGGAGAAGAAGAAATATTAAATAAAAATGCCCAAATCAAATTATAGAATCGTAAAAGTATTTATTGCCCCAGGGACCCCGAGGATTCTGATGGGAATGAGGATGAGGATGGAGCCCAGGAATGGGCAGCAATGGCTGCTCCCGCCTCATTACCTCTCTTTCCCACCCGAGGGACTCCAAGTGATTTGATTATTATCGGTTAATTGGTGGATCGTAAAACTTTTACGATTCGTTCGCCAGCCTTTAAGTGAGCCCGTTTTTGGGAGCAACAAGTGCAGCGAGGACTCCCATTGGACGAGAGCCAGTGATCAATAAAATCAGCGGTAAATAAGCCAAAGAAGCGGACGACTTGTCCACCATTTCCCCTCAAATGTCCCCACGAGATGGCCACTTTATGGCTCCACCAGGCATCCGTCAACTATTGGCGGCACTGCAGTCCGGATAATGTACGCCTTTTGCCCAGAACCACTAATGGACCTTAACTGCAGAAATTGCGATGATCGGAAATGGTGTACTCAAAAGTATTAACTTAATTAAAATTGAATTTGAAACTAGTGCTCTCTGATGTCTAGACACTTCCTTAAAGGGAATAAGGACGGAGTATACTACTGTATTAAAAATATTTTAATAGTTTATAATGACAGATTAACTTTAAAGAGGTTCTTTTAGCGTTGTACGCAGTATTTATGTATGTATATTGTTATAAACCTTATAAAGCATAAGCACTTAAAAAAAACTATTATTGTTTTTAATCTAGTGAGAAGTCATTTGCAAATAACTTAATAAACTCTAGGTCATACTGCCTTCAAACCTTTCTATATCATAACTTTGTTTAACTGTTTCTAAAATCAGTGGTTATACGGTTAAAAAGGTTTTATAATTTGATTAAAAAAGTATATAAAATAATATATGTATATAAAACATAACTCCTATAACTATTATAATAATAAAAAAACATTTAGATTTAATATGTATTGCTGTGCTGTCGCCGTATTTGTAACCATATCTTAACGATATCTTAATATATCATGAACGCAAAAATATTATTCCGAAATTAGACTTTGTGTTCTAGTTACAAAGAATAACTCAAATGGATGTACTCCGAAGATGGCTAAGGACTGTTGGGCCTGTTGTTAGCTTGTTTTTGGTTTACCATAACTTTGTTGGATAAAATAAAGGGGAATTTGGGAACGAATCTTAAATTTAATTTTGGTTTGAATTTTAAAAATATTATGTTTTTTATATTAAAAGTTAAAAAACAATCTTTTTTTTAACTTTTATTTTAATTTTTAATATTTAAAAGCGTTGTGTCAACCAGCTTTTATTCAATTAATATTAAATTTGCGCCAGCTGTAACTATAAATCTTTAAAGATTCAGTTAGTAAATCCTTTAATGTCATGCTATAATGTTATACTTAGTATGTACTTGCTACTGAAAATATAATCAAAAAAAAAAAAAGATTCTATAATTTACTCTAAATGGTAAACATACCTACATATTTATGGTCCAATGGAAAATGAAAATACTTTATTTTATTGACCAGCTCTGACCAAAATCAATACCTTCCATTTTTATTGCTTTACCGTGAGAAACATCCAAAAACTTTTAAGACTTTGTGCTTAGAACATTAGTTACTTCTTAGTACATATTACAATTTTCGAAGTGTTAACATATTTTTGTTAAAATTTTTTTTTTTCAACTGGTACAAAATGCGAAATTAATTCAGTTAACAAGTTAGCTTACGGATTTGTTAAAAATATATTTTTAAGGGGTAATAACTATAAAAGAAATGCATGGTTTAATCAAATTTATTTAATTTAAATGTTTGTGCCACCACCAAGATTTTTTCTTCCTTTTACATTAGTTCACAATTTACAGCTGTCCTAACACCTTACGTGCCCAAATTTAATGTTTGGCCATATTTGTTTGCCTCCGTGTCCCGCTTTAACACCCATGCTGGTGATCACAACCCAGCCCAGGTTTATCTTTTAGGATCCGCAAAAAATTTAAGGGCATTGGCCTTATTTCCAAGCAGGAATAATTGTTTTAGCAGCCGAAAAGAAAAGCGTAAAAAGTTGTTTCCCTGTCAAAATCGCACGGGAAACCAACCCCAACCCTTTTTCAAAGCGCACCCTCTCTGTCGCAGCCGCTCCGTCCCGCTCGCACGACAATGCAACGAAACAAAAAAGAGACAAAAAAGTGAGACTGACATGTCAAGTGAAGCGAAATCCACGAAGAAGCTGCAAAAAGCGAAAAAAAGTTAACAGCGAGGGGGAGCACAGAGAGAGCGAGAGGCAGAGCACTCAAAGTGACGAGGACGAAAAGCTCAAAAAGCAACAACTTCAGTGTTTTCTTGCAAAAAAAAAGCAAGGAAAGAAGAACAGAGACAGCTGCAATTCAAAGCGACGCGCGGAAAAGGGACAGCCTCTGCGGGCGAGAGAATTTGTTTTGAACTGTCATAAATCTTAATTGTGATGGAATCGGAATAGGGACAAAAGAAGGGTGACGAAAAAGCGACAAAACAGATTTCACACATTCTCGGTGCGAGCGAGACGGGGCGTCGTGATGATTTCCCCTGTTCCAGTTCCACACGTTCGCTTGTAAACATTCCAATTGGCGCGCAGGGGAAAAGAGAGCCCTGCGCCGGCGCACTCTCTCTCGCTCTCGCTCTTTGTTGTTGCTGCCCAAGTGGCTGTTTCAGACTCAGTTCTGGCTCTTCTCTTCAGTCAACAACGAACCAGTCAACAACGAACCGTTACAGCGAACGATCACGCGAGAAAAGCTCAGCGGCTCGGCGCTTTAGAAAATCTTACGGTAATTAATTAGCGGGAGCGGTGCTGCCGAGGCGCGAGCGAGACAGCAGCACATTTAATCACGCTGACAGCCAGCTGTCGTGCGAGTGTGTGGGTGGTACACACACACCGGAACACACAGGGCCGTCACACACACAACTGCGCAGCCGTCGCCTGGACGCAAAATCGAATCAGAAATTGCCGTCGCCAAAATCGCGCGCTTCGTGTTTGCGCTCGTCAAAAGCAGCGCAGCTTCCAATCGGTGCACTTCCCGTCCGCCGTTTCATTTTTTTCCGTTCGTATCAATCAGTGGCGGCAGAGGCGGCAGCGCATCGTTGTTGTTTGTCAGTTTGACAGCAGTGGCAGCGCGGTCGGCAGTGGCAGCGCAGTCGGCAGCGGCAGAGGCCAGTGACGAAAGAACCCGGCCAGCAGAATTCATTCGCTTTTGGCCGTTCATTCGCTTTTGGACGTTCATTCGAGTAACGACGGAATCCGGATGAAAGACGCCCGCACTCCGCGAAACGCGTGTTCCGCCAGAATATTCAAAACGCAGTGTGATACGAGTTTATGGATCTGAAAGACGAGATTTTCCACGGTGCCGCCATCATATCTAGTCAAAATTGGAAAAGCCAAGCACTAACTATCGCCCGAAATGCTCGATCAAGACTGAATAAAACACACAAAAAAACAACTAAAACCCCACAAATGGTTCAACAAAGTATACGTAAAACAACCACAAATTCAAATATACCACAAAAATATATTTATTAATCTAAAGCTAAAGATAAACTACTACGAATATTTATATTAAACGGTATTTGCTCACCCAAATTACACTTGCATACATTATGTAAAAGCAGTTACTTAAATCAACAAACCTTAACGAAGTATACGATTCAATGCAATTATTAAATTAAATTTAAACCCACACACAACACAAATTACAAATTACAAAATATAAAATACAAAATACAAAACGCCTCGAAAGAAAACAAATATTTAAACGTCATTTTTGTCTGCCATACGAAAATTTATAAATTTAAATCTAAAACACAATTAAACAAAGTTATACGCTACGACAACAACAAATTCTATACGACAACGTACCAAGTGCAAAACAAAAAGTAAAAACAAAACATAAACAAATTTTATGAATATTGTGTCAAATTAAAATTAAGTTACAAAACCCAATTGAAACACCAGCAAACGTCTTAGTTTGCTCCCAAAAACCCAAAAAGTTGCCGCAAATCGTCAAAATTCAGCAAAATTTAAATATGTTGCACGAGGCTCTGATGCTCGAAATCTACAGACAGGCGCTAAATGCCGGGTAAGTGTTTTTTATCCACTGTGTGTGAAAAGATGTTCGCTATTTAATATTAAGAAGAGGAGTTTCTAAGTGACAAATACAATCTAGATTTAGTTTCAAATGGTATGGATTTCCATTCACTTATCCATTCCAAAATACTTATATTGTGACTAAGTTATAGTACACCGCAATTAAATGAAATATGGTGATTTTAGTTCGTGCACACAAATAATCTGCATTTTCGAGAAATTTAAAGGCATTGAAATATTTTTAACATTATCAATAAACAGTTTTTTGAGACAGCAAAAAAAGGGTCTTGAACAAAACAACTCAAAAAATGACTTTTTCTTGTAGTGAGTCCTTTTTCTAAGCAACAACATTAAGTAACAATGTTTCCAAGTCGACAATAAACTTAACTTCTTAGTTAGTTCATTGTATTAGTTTATTTGTTTAATAGTTATAGTTTGTTTCCCCCAATAGAACTAGTACAATATCCCATAGATCAGAATAAAACAGAATATATGTATATTTATTTAAAAAAGCAAGCTAGATTTTGAAACCACACTCCACACCATTAATCATCCGCAAATAGAACAGTACACATGGAATGATTTTGATCGAGAGACCTTCCCGCCTCTTTCGGGCCAACTTTCCGTTGTGTCATTCCGGACTGATAGCCGAAATTGTTGAATGGCCCATTAAAATATTACTTTAGACTCTCGGCCAAATCAGCGAAATAAATATATCAAGAAATTATGATTTCATGATTTCATGATTTCAGGGGCGGGAGTGGTGCTCGCATTTGATGATTGGCATTGGCGTCCCCGACGTCGTCGCACACCTGTCGTTATAAATTCAGCCCCACGCCAATAGCGCGGCCCATATATCAAAACAACCACCCACCCACCACCCCTTGGAAAAAAAGATTGAGCGCAACAGTTCCCGAAAATATTGATTTACAGCAGGGCAGATCGGGAAAACCAGAACCCCAAATGCACAGAACAAAGGCTGAATCGAGTTGGAAAGTGCGAGCGGAAAACTTGATTTGTAAGATCCAAGTCCGAAAATCAAACAGAAAAGTCGAATCGGCATAAATTCGATGATCTATCTTTGGGCTATTAATTTGTGTGGCGAGTGTGTTTGTGTATATCTGAATCTGAGTGCCTATGAAATTATGATTAAACAAGTTTCAGATACATTTTTGCGCTCGCACTCGGCCAGCAGAATCTGAGCAAATTAGTGGCGGGCCGGGAAAACTGGTTCTGCGACACCGGGCGAGGTATTTAGGGGTGCATCTGGGGTATTACTAATAAAGTGCGACAAATTGTCTCGCTTTTGATTGCTCGGCATGCAAATACAGACGCACACACACGCACTTTCAAGACTTTTCCAAGGCGATGATGACGTAGCCGAATTGAATAAATCATGCGAAAAGTGAAAAACTCAGAATGCGCTACGCTCTGCTTGCCATCTTTTCCGCTCAGCCCTCCCTTTCTTCCGACCTCTCCCCCTCTCTTTCTCTCGCTGTAAGTATGTATGTATGTAGGTATATGTGTGTGTGCCTATTACGGGAAAGATTTATGTTCACAATTTGCCGCTGATTTGTGCGTGTGTTTGTGACTCTGGCAGCATGTGTGTGTGTGTGTTTAGTAATATTTACTTTGTTACCTTAACGGATTAGTCATGCCCAAGTTTTTGTTTACCAGTTACAGTGGACTATATCCTGTAGATGTATATATTGTTCTTTTCGGATTCTGATAGGATAGTAATAGATGAAATAGTGATATAGTATAATTAAGGGTAAAAGTAGAAGTCTTTAGATACTGAACCTAACTATTATTTATAGGTAATATTCATTGTTATGAATCACCTTATCAGAAACACCTTAGAATAATACAGATACCCACTGTTCGGGTTGAACAGCGCTCTATAGATGCATATCAACCTGTAACTCTCTCGATTATTAATGAGACGTTTCAACCCGTAATTAACTGCACTTGCAGGAGTTGCGTATAAATCATTTTGATTTAAGCTTAATCGAATAACGAGATTGCAGATTATGATATGCTGGCGGGGAAAACTTGTTGCCAGCCATTTCATACTAGGCAAAACACAAACTAAAAAAATGGAATGGAGGAAGGGGAAGGGGAGGGAGGGGGGTAGAAAAATGCTTTGTATGCGGGCTTAATCGGCCCGTGCAATCTGGATAGCTAATTAGCGGTGAGCGATCGCAGCGAGTGTGTAACTATTATAACTATCTTTGATGAGCTGTCACCTGGCAGCTGACTGAGTTGCAATCGCTCCGCAGTGAGCCGCACGTGAATCGGATTTTTTTTTGGAGGGGCAACTTAGGGTCCCATCAATATTGCGCTGGGCCGGGTCTCTTGTGTACTATCCATCAATTAAAAGTGCCTTTGTGATAGGGAGTGGGTGACAAACCTCCTCCTCCTCCTCCTCCGAATCGAACAACTTAATGCCGGTTAAGAAGTTAGTTTTTCGCTGAGCGATCGCTTGTCGCACAATAGCACATGACAAATTGTTGACAAGCGACTCTCCGGACAAACAAGACCGATTTTACGATACCCCCATTCAAATCGGGCCACATTAACTCTTCGTTATTGATCAGGTTCAGCTATTTCCGCCACGACTCGTCGTTAAATTCCCCCACCAAAAACCGAAGAAAAAACCCAAAAACACAACGCCCACACACAGAAACACACACAAATATTATATAGAGCTAATCATCAAAAATTTATAACGTTTTGCATATACTTCAAAGTCAATCAGACAATCATTCAAAATAAGCTAAACGAAAGCCGCAGAATTATGTTTCTGTGAAATATTTTCAAAGCAAACAATCGGCGCCATAAAAATTATATATGGTTTCAATCTGAATGTTACACACTTGAACAAATCAAGGAAATAAAGTTCGGCGATTTGGTTATTTTCTGTTGGCAAATCATTTTCCTTATTATTTTTGTTTTTTTCTTGTCGGGGTTTCTCTGCTGTGAGTGGCAATAAAATTTGTTTTATTTATTTCTATTTATGCACATTTATGAGCGGGCCAATTAATTTATGCAAACTATGTGGAATTTGTGGCTGCCCAGCCAAACGATAATTGCCGCCGAGTTTGTCAAATATTCGGATCTCATCTCCGATGCTGATTATGATCGGCTTTGCTCATAACTCACGCCTAAGATCTCGAATTAAACGCCATTGTTCCACATGGACTTTTACGACCCTCCAGCGATTGTGGAGGGGGTCGAGGAGGGGGAGTGGGAGGGGGTTGTAGAAGGGGAAGGGGGAGCGGTCTAAAACACACAGCTGGCTGCGACAGAGTTTCATTTTTTGTGTTCGCTTTGCTTTATGGCGCTCTGAGATTTGAATAACAAATCGAAATGTTGACATATGTTTGCCATTGTGGGCATTGTGGTTTCCCCCCCGCTCGGCGAATGATTTAGCACAGATTGGAGCGAAATATAAAGCGAGCTATAAAGATTTCCAATGCTCTTGATTGCTTATCTACCGGTTCGCTCCGCAAGAGAAAAGTTCGGTCCGTGAAAGTCTGGCGGCGAAAGGGGGAGAGAAAGCTTATCAATCGGATCTTGGCTTTATAAAGCCATTGGAAGTTGATAGATTGCTGATTAGCTCCTAATGATTCATACTTATTGTTAGTCTTTGGCTGATAATGCTAATGAAGACTTTGAAATGCAAAAAGATTCAAAATCGTTTTAGATCATTCGTTTAGTTTTAATGCAAACTGAACCTTTGTCAGACTTCAAAGTATAGATTAGTTGGTTTGGCTTTACCCTTCAGTTACACTTTAATATACTAACCTTTATATTCAACACTATCTATTATTAAAATATTTTAATTAATATTTAATAATAATAAACAGCAGTATCCATTGGATTATAAACATTTTTGATATAAATGTAGCTACTATTTCAAGTTCTTTTTTTTTTGTTTCAAAAACATTAAATAATTTAAAGGTTTTTGTTAAATTTTTGTTAAATAATCGAACGAATGGGTGAATATTATTACGTACTGGTTCAGCTCCTAATTTCTCCCATTTTTTCGTTTTAATATAAAAAATGTATTACATAATCAAAAATTATTAGCAATGTTAGATATTGTTAACTGTAAACTAAAATAAAGGGTAATCGTCTGAATTAGTTGTATCTACCAACTAATTAGGCATTTATGGCATTATGTAACTAATAGAAATTTAACAATAAACAGATAGATCCTTTACTTAAAATTGTTATTTGGATACAATGTAAACCATTACTAACTTAAACATTTTTTTTTTCCCCACTATTTGCAGAGCCCTGCCCACAGCTCGTCCGCGTTCCACGGAGTCGGCGAACTCGAGCGAGCGGTGTCCCTCGCACGACTCCAACTCCTCGGACAACGGGGGGCGGGGGAGCCGGCAGCGGGGGCGTGGCGGGCCACCGGATGGACGCGGCCGCCCTATCCGCCGGAGTGCTGCCCGGCGTGGTGCCCACCACCCTGCACTCGACATTCCCGGCGGTGCCGCAGTCGCTTCCCGCCCAGCCGCCCTCGATGGAGGCGTACCTGCACATGGTGGCCGCGGCCGCCCAGCAGTACGGCTTCCCCTTGGCGGCGGCAGCGGCGGCGGGGGCGGGGCCGCGCCTGCCCCTCCCGCTGGCAAATGAGGCTGCCGCTCCGTTCAAGCTGCCCCCGCAGGCGTCGCCCACCGCGTCGAGCAACAACTCGGAGGCGCTGGACTTCCGCACGAACCTCTACGGACGGGCGGAGTCGGCGGAGCCTCCCGCTTCGGAGGGCGAGGAGGAGGACTTCGACGACGGGGCCAACAACCCGCTCGACCTCTCCGTGGGCACCCGCAAGAGGGGCCATGAGTCGGCGGACCCCCGGTGGGCCACATCCAGGTGAAGAAGATGTTCAAGTCGGACAGCCCGCCCGCCAACCCCGTTGCCCCGCCCTCCGCCAGCCAGCTGCTGCCGGGAGTTAACCCGTATCTCGCCGCCGTGGCGGCTGCCAACATCTTCCGGGCGGGCCAGTTCCCCGACTGGAACGGCAAGAGCGACCTGGTGGTGGACCCGCTCGAGAAGATGTCCGACATCGTCAAGGGAGGAGGGGCGGGCGGAATGGGCGGCAAGGAGAAGATGCACTCGTCGAAGGCCACGCCCCCGCAGACGGCAGCTCCGCCGCCAAAGAGTCCCGTTCAGCCGTCCCAGGGGAGTCAGAGTTCCGAGTCCGGCGGAGGATCAGGAGGAGGAAGTGGAGGCAGTGGAGGAGGAGGAGGAGGAGGAGTGACGAAGGCCAGGCACAACATCTGGCAGTCGCACTGGCAGAACAAGGGCGTGGCCAGCTCGGTGTTCCGGTGCGTGTGGTGCAAGCAGAGCTTCCCCACTCTGGAGGCCCTCACCACCCACATGAAGGACAGCAAGCACTGCGGCGTGAACGTGCCGCCGTTCGGCAACCTGCCCAGCAACAACCCGCAGCCGCAGCACCACCACCCGGCGCCCCCGCCTCCGCCGCAGAACCACAACCTGCGCAAGCACGGAGGATCGGGCGGTGGCGGTGGATCTGGGTCCAACCACTCCCCCTCGGCGAACGTGAAGAACGCGTTCCAGTACCGCGGCGACCCGCCCACGCCGCTGCCCAGGAAGCTGGTGCGCGGCCAGAACGTGTGGCTGGGCAAGGGCGTGGAGCAGGCGATGCAGATCCTCAAGTGCATGCGCTGCGGCGAGAGCTTCCGCTCACTGGGCGAGATGACCAAGCACATGCAGGAGACGCAGCACTACACCAACATCCTCTCGCAGGAGCAGAGCATCTCCATCAAGTCGGCGAGTGCCAACGCCAACTCGGATGCCAAGGAGTCCCACAACAGCCTGAGCTCCGAGGAGAGCCGCACCCTAAGCGCCGTGCTCACGTGCAAGGTGTGCGACAAGGCCTTCGGCTCCCTGGGCGACCTGAGCAACCACATGGCCAAGAACAACCACTACGCGGAGCCGCTGCTCCAGTCCGCCGGGGCGAGGAAGCGGCCGGCGCCCAAGAAGCGCGAGAAGTCGCTGCCGGTGCGCAAGCTCCTCGAGATGAAGGGCGGATCCGGGAACCAGGAGGACCTCCCCAGCGAGAAGGCCTCGGTGCAGGGGAAGCCGGGACTGGGACCGGGGGGCGGGGACAAGAACGACGCCGCCCTCTTCGCCGAGCGGATGCGCCAGTACATAACCGGAGTGAAGTCGCCGGAGGAGATCGCCAAGGTGGCCGCCGCCCAGCTGCTGGCCAAGAACAAGTCGCCGGAGCTCCTGGTGGAGCAGAAGAACGGCGGCGCCAAGGCGCCGGGAGCCTCCTCGGTGCTCAGCGCCATCGAGCAGATGTTCACCACCAGCTTCGACACGCCGCCGCGGCACGCCAGCCTGCCGGCCAGCAGTCCCTCCAACTCGTCCACCAAGAACACCTCGCCGGTGGCCTCCAGCATCCTGAAGCGGCTCGGCATCGACGAGACGGTGGACTACAACAAGCCGCTGATCGACACGAACGACCCCTACTACCAGCACTACCGCTACACCAGCAGCGAGCGGAGCGGCAGCGAGTGCAGCGCGGAGGCGCGTCCCCGCCTGGATGCACCCACTCCCGAGAAGCAGCCGCCGGCGGAGGAGGCGGCCCCGGACGCCAAGCCGGCCATCAAGCAGGAGCTCGAGGCGGAGCCCATCAAAATGGAGATCAAGTCTGAACTGGCGGAGGAGCAGAGCGACGCGGCCGAGGAGCCCTTCAAGATGGAGACGACCCTGGTCAACGGCAACAACAACAACAACAATAACAACAACGTGGAGAGGAGCTCCCCGAAGACGCCTTCGTCGGCGGCGAGTCCGCAGACGCGGCTGCTCCCTCCCCGGAGTCCCGCCGAGAGCCAGCGATCGGTGACGCCCAAGTCGCCCGCCTCCAGCCACAAATCCTACGACGGGAGCTCCGAGGGGAACAAGAAGTACCCGAGCGACTCGCTGAACGCCCTCTCCTCCATGTTCGACTCCCTGGGCAGCAGCGGTGGAGCCGGGGCGGCCAACACGAGGGCCAAGCTGGCGGCGGCGGCGGCCGCCGGCGGTTCGGAGTCGCCGGAGAACCTCAGCTCCGGCGGCAACTCGCTGGCGGCCCTGCGACAATTCTGCGTGAAGAAGGAGAAGACCGCCTAAGTCCGCGCGAGTCCGAGACGAAAAGCGAAACCGAATCGTTTGCCTTGTTTTCGTTGTTTCGAGCAAAACGCATTTTCAACATTTTTTGGTTTGGTTTGCCAGCGAGGCGAGGCGCCTCCGCCCCGAAACCCCGCAACCCCGAATCCCCGAGCCCCAAGGCCACGGAACCCCGGATCCTCGCGGGGCTTCGGGTTCGGTTCCGGGCGGGTTTGGCCTCGCGAGCCGAGATTCCAGTCACAGTGCCACGGAAGGAGCCACGCAAGGATGGCGGGCATGACGACACTTTGTATTAACCGGACAAAGAAGAAGCGGATGAAAGCGGAAGACGTTTCCTCGGAGAGATTTGCCGCCGACTGTACAGACGAGATAGGGATCGGTCCGAGGTGGGGATGTTGTTCTGCGGCCCAACACGATTCCTGCCGCGTCCAGTTCCTCCTTCCGCCCTTCAGCGAGCAGCAAGGCCTACTTTTTCAAGGTAACTATCAGTACCTTAAGACAAAGATTAAGACAAGGATTTAGTTAAACGGAGAATAAATAGGAGTCAGTTCAAAGTATAAACTTCATTTGCAACTAACTTTAAACAGCCAACTTAATTTACCTGCTTAGAGTATATTAGCTTTAAAACTAATAATAGAAGTTTCACTAGATATTATATTGTTACTTATTGTTATTTTATATGCGATTAATAAAGGAAAAGAGAAAAATACTTTAAAATATATGGGTAAAATCCGAAATTAATATTCAAATTCAAATTAAAAACTGTATTTTTTCTAGAACAGAAGATCTATAGACAGAAGATTTATTGGTGTGTTTTTGCTTTGAGATAACATAGTTACCAAATTGTAGACAACATTTCAAATTTGTGGTAAATTATTAAAAACGACAGTTTTAATTATTCATTGGGAACTTAATGAGTCTATTACATTTCGAATTATTCCTAATTTAAAATGTTAGTTTGTTATAAGAATACTAGATACAATGCATCTTGTGTAACCTTTTCGAAATCATGCTAGTCTTGGTTAAACCTATCCTTTTTAAAACTTGTCTAACCATTCCCCTCTCTTCTCACCCTTTCAGGATGCAAAACAGAATCGCGCCACTTTGGGTTCCTTGGAAGACCGCGGCCCGCCAGCTGATCGGGGAGGTGGAACGGAAGCCAGACGAGATGCCCTGCTCCCGAGTCCACGAGCCCTTGTTAGGGCTGCCACTTGCCTAGGCAAAGAGTTATGAAATTGGAAAAGAAAACATTGTGATCAAATAAAAGAAAAAGTTTTTATGGAATTATCAAGCTGCAATTCTTTAATTGGTTGGGAATCACAATTTCGTTAGTTCTTCTTGGAGGCTTTCTTGGCGACCTCCTTGACCTCCGGATCTGGTGGCCTTTGGCCCGAAAGGAAGGAGACGAGCATGTCGCTGAAGTCCGGAAGGTCCTTGATCTTGGGTAGCTGAATGCTCTCCAGCTCCTTCTTCGCCTCCGGGTCCTTGATGATCCTGGGAATGGCCAGCATGAGCAGGAGTGGCAGCACCATGACCAGAACCATCGGGTTCAGGATGAGGTCGACGACGTGCCACTGCTCCCGGTTCCTGAAGAACTTCCGGCGGTGGAGGGGCAGCAGACGCAGTGGATAGGGCACCTGGACGACCACCGATGGCTGGACGTAGTTCACCTTGCGAGCCCGGTACTTCCCCCTTGCATTTATCTCCACTATCACAGGCTGAAAGTGGATGTCCGGGTGCTCGATCTGCAGCACGTGACTCCCGCTCGGAACTCCGGATATCGAAAAGCGTCGGTCCAATCGCACGAATCCCTTCAGCTCTCCGTTGTTGATCGACACGGTGATGTCCCTTACCCAGGTTTTCGGAAGATTCAGCTTCTTCTCGGCGGGCAAGACGATTCCTTCGATGGTGTACAGAACCCCTGCCTTGCTTTCCTTCACTCGAGGAAGGTACTCTCGTTCAACGAGGGCGCTGCTCAGAGAAAGTATAGATAGAATCACAACAATTTTATACATTTTTGTGGGTTTGAAAATTTTTCCAATGTGCTTTGAATATATTTTCTGCCAGCTTTGAAGGGAGAGTCAAGAAAAGCTATTTGTCATTGAAATATTTAAGATTGGTTGGGTTGTACTTGTTATACACAAATTCGACATTATATAGGTCATTGAAAATCGATCTTGATGATCTGCACTATGAAACAATCAACCTTTTTGGATTATTTACAAACAAATGCAATCAATTGATTGCGAAATCCAATCCAGTTTTGCATTGATCACTTTACTAGAAGGTAGTGTATTTTTAAAAATAAACTGTTTTTAAAATAATAAATTATTAAAGTGTAAATTCATTTTACGTAAGTTGATACTTTTGTATGTATTTTTAAAGTTAATGTAAGATAATTCCACAATTTGAAATGCCGTCGGCAAGTGCTCGTGATCAGATCATGATTGAGCCAATGGAACCAGACGAAGGCAGCTTCTTTCGGGAGAATGACTCACTGCCGCAGAATGTCGTCTTCGGAAGAAACCGAACCCTTTCCCGCCTAAAAAGAAAATCTCCGCGTAGACTTCTCCCTGAAATCGTGACCCAAGCGACTTTTGTTCGCCCATCAGATGCCGCATATGAGGCATAGGAGACATTGTGCGGAATTTCGGCCTGGCCATAACTCCTTTGGCAGCAGAGGGAACCCGAGAAACCTGGCCAAGTAGCTGCCACAAATTTGCACTTTTGATGAACGTTTTCGGCTTCTGTGCCGCGCGAATCACGGCGAACATGTGCAATAATTTTGGATGGTAATTTCGCAAGTAGCTCGAGAGGTCTCAACAAGTGTTCAGAGTTCGGAGTTTCGGCGCATGCGCTAGCAATTTACCCACATAATTTGAGATTTGAGATGGCCCAAAGGACCGAGGATCGCGGATGGAGGTTGGAGGTTTGAGGATCGCAGGTCCGCTGGTGTCGTCATTATGGCAATTTCGTGTTCATCGTTTGATTTAGCGCCATCGCACCGTCCTCGTCTGCAGCCCGTTGTTTGTATTTAAATTCCCCCCCGCCGGATACTTTGCCCCTCATCACTGCTGATCTTCGTGGCTGCCATTAAATAAACAGACTTGTTGCTGTTGCAACGTCGTTGTTGTTATTGTTGTTATTGTTGGTTGGTTTTCCTTTTTGTTGCTGCTCCTGACTGCGCTCAATTGACAGCGCATGCGCATGAAAATTTAAATTATGGTTCGCGACGACTCTAGCTGCAGTGTGGCTCCGATCGAGATCGGAATTGGGATCCGGATGGGGATGGGAATGGGAATGGGGATCGGGGTTAGGAATCGGGGTGGCGAGCTTCTGGCTACAGCCGATGTAGATTAAGTTGCCACAAGTTCGGCCCCACTCAAAATGATCGTTGAATGGGAAGGAATTGTCACAGATTGAAGTGGGGATTTTCATGGGGAGTGTAAATGGAGATTTAACTGCAGTCTGAACTAAGTTCAATTTTAGGTTTGCTTAGCAATACAAATATTTGAATAAATGGTAAGCCCACAGAAATGATAAATAATTGGCAAATATAAAAAATACCCTTACAAATAACTAAAAGGTAAATTTGAAATATCCCTTGAATTCCATTTATTGATTTTGATGATAAGTATTCATCATTTAATCGACGGAATAAGCAATGAGATCACTGTGCATCTCCATATTTAAATTGTATTTTTAATGAATTGATTCGTTAATAATTCTGTATTAAAAAATATAGAACAATTAAAAGTTCTGTAGCTACATCTGTAATTTTCATAAGAAAAAATAAGAAAAAGGATTTATTTTAATTAAATATGCATTCCAATGCAATTGTATTTTGCAAAGTTGTTCATCAACTCCATTTGTATTATTAAAAGTGTAATCAAAATCTGGCCTATAGTTTTTAAGCTGAACATGAATGAAAAGTTTAACGTAACGTCAGTATTCTAGTTCCAAATAAACAAATAACCAAAAATAGATCTGAGTCAGTAGTTAAAAAACGTATATATCTTTGCCAGCGAGACGAAACTAACCTGATCCAACAGAAAGCGCGCTCCGTTATCAACGCTTCTTATAATATTCTATAAATAATGGTAATCTAATCTGGAGGAACAAAATAACGTAGGAAATATGATCAATAGCGATCAAAAACAATGTGTAAATCAATCAGGGGAATTGATAGCTGGTGACTGATTTACGACGCGCGACTCATGTCTGTGCCGTAAATCCGCCAACGCAATCATTATCATCTTCATTATCGTCGCTATCAAAAGGAAGAGTTTGGCATGACACACAGCCGGCTTATCCCTATCGCCAAATGGCCAAATGGCTAAATGGCCCAAGCTCATCGGCTCGGCGAGCCTTTGCTTTTAATAATAAAACAATTTGAGCGATTGCAAGATAATCGATTAATGACTTCGCCGCCGATAAGACACAGAGATTTACTGTACAGATTGCGATCGCAAAGCGACTCTGCGCCTTATCAAGGCAGCGGGATTACTATCTGCAATAAATCACTGCGAACGTGCTAAACTCCCGAGTAAATGCCCTCGACTCTCTAGTCTCGACTCTAGAGTTTTCGCTCCTCTGAAGACCCTTCATAACTGATTTGCTAGGAATTGTTTCTGGTTTCCCAACCAGATATTCCGCAAAATCGGGAACCACTGACGGCCATAAATTAAAGGGAACCTTTGTGTTTTATGCGGAAAAGGGAAACTTTTAAATATTCATGCGTGATATTTGTCGCAGCGACAGGATCGCTTTCAGATCCAACGATCGATTGTTTCTTTCCAAAAGCGAGACCAGAACAATGACAGCATCCCTGCATCCCAGCATCCCAGCCTCCCGATGTCAGTCAGGCAGAACAATTGTTTAGGAGCCGGCAACACAATGGGTCATTTAGGCCGGACTCCACTCCATTCCACCCTGCCTCTCGCTCAACTTTCCGATAATCGAAAACCGAAAACGTTGCCCATCCTGACAGGCAACAAGTATTGCACGATCCCGAATCCGAATCCGAATCAGGATCCCAATTCGGGGAGGAGGAATCCCTCCCGAGGAGAAGGGGGCGTTGTCCTTGTGAGTGATTTATTTAGTTTGTGTCAATTCCTGAAATTATTGGCCCCCAAATGCAAAGTCGCCTCAGTTCTGGTCGTGATGACATCTCCCCGCATATCTTAACACATTTCGGCATTCGGTATTCCCTGAAGGATCAGTTCACAGAAGGAGGAATCCCGAGGGCCGCGACTCGAAATTTGTATGCAAATCCAGACTGGCTTTGATTTGAGTTGCGACATTTTTTGATAGACCTTGGAGGTTCAGTTTGATATATGTTGTTTTGGGGATGCTTGATTATAAAAAAGATCATTTATTTTAGTCCTTACTTCTTTTCTTTTATTTGATTTTATGCTGAAAATACTGATAAGAGTGTATATGCTTTTAAAAACCTTTTTTATTTTAATGAATAAATCTTAGGATTAGTCATACACTCAATTTGTTTAAATTTGTACGAAATAAATGAACATTAGTATTATAAATAACTCTGTAATTAATCCAAGTTTTAGTTTACTTTGTAAGTAACATTTTACAAGATTTAATATTAAACAAATAAATTCACAAAAAAAAACATTTAATGGAATTCGATTTAAATTGTGTTTTGAAATTTAACTTTTCCAAACTTATATTCTATTTTTTTTTTTTTTTGTTAATTCCAAATGTAGTAAGTACGCCATACACCTATTATAATAAGCTTAGAAACATTCTTTAATTAAAGAAGTCGGTGTAGTAGATGCCATTCTGTAAATATTCCGGCCACTCGAGGCTCCAGATATGGCCGTCGCGTTGACGATGATGAGCCAGCCGGCAAACAAGATGGAGTGGAGTGGAGTGGATATTTCGCGTGGAGCCGCATTTAAAACAAGTTCAAGATGCAAACAATGGATCATTATCCCGGGACAAAAACTAAGGTGAAGCCGAAGCGACGAGGAGGAGAGCCGAGCCAAGCTGATACAATCGAGCGCAATCGCCACGGCATTCCCATAGGTTACACGGCCAGATGGGAGATGCCACAGGTCCAGGCCATCCCATCGCATCCCCAGCCATACCAAGAGCGTCCCAATACCATCCCATAGTATCCCAGTCCAGCCAGAGATGCCGAGGGAGCGGGACGAACAGATGGTGCGAGAGGGAGGGAAGCTCCGATGGCGATGGCTCTTGTTGTTTATTGATTACACGCTTTTTGGGGAATGTGCATTGCATTGGGCCACGGTGGGTTGCAACTTGCAACTCGCCAGCAACTTGCAGCTCGCAGCTCGCTGCTCTCAGCTCGCGACTCTTGGCCATAATGGTGCGGATGCCAGCGGCTGCAACATGCGCCTGTCATGCGATCGCCGCCAAGAACATAACATCCATTACACAGCCATCGACTGCAGGAGGACGAGCTCCACCACGAGGATGAGGACGCAGATGAGGATGGGGACGAGGATGAGGACGTGGAAAGCGAGGACGCTTACGATTGTAAATGCGATTTGGCGGAGATCGCGGCGACCAGGGCCAAACATTGGCCACTTGGCATTGGGCCGCCTGTGCGGAGCAAAGAGCACTGGGGCTATCGCCTCGGCGAGAGCAATATGAAATTCAATGCCACATTTGCTGCATGAACTAGAAAACACTCAAATGTTTGGCATCGAGTTTAAATCCTGCTCTTAATGAACAGCAAATACACTACAGGCTCTATCTGCAATTTAATTTGAACAAATTTATAAATTGAAATGGTGAGTCGTTTCAAAAGATGTTATTGGTTTATCGTTACTACTGAAACTTATGTTATGAAACACAATAAAACTTTAATACTTAGTAGTGAAAATAATATGTTTATTTCAATTATGCAATTTATATAATTCATCATATATGTCTGCATTAAAATTATAAGAAATTTATAGGTAAATTCATAAAACAAGTAAATATAATAAATATGAATTGTTCTAATGGTAAGCTTAATAAAAATATTCTTTACAACTGTACTTAATTAAAACATTTGCTAAAAAGTGGTTGTATATGCATACATATATACAA